ACGCGTGAACAGGAAATGTCTACAATGTACTGTGTTGTGCACGGTGGATGCACGTAGTACTGACCCCTCTACTTAGATCGCAGCACCGTCACCACGAAGTTCATGGAACCGTCGCCTGGCGCGCTGCAGTTGCTGCCAACTGGACTGGACTGAGCTTAGCGGCGGACTAGATTAGACTAAACTGTTGGACTAGACTCGGCGATGCGGAGAGAACGATTGCCCGCGCTCGCGATGTACTCGGCAGCGGGTGGCGGCGCAGCTGTGTGAATGCGATGTAGGTCATTGCTCCTGATGTAGTAGGCTACTGCTGCGCGCGCGATACCGCGTTTTGTTTACTCATAGTCATTTGCACGTACCGTTTGTATGCTTGGTACGGTACGAGTTTATTCAGGAGGGTATAGCAAATCTTTGACAACTTATTTTTAATTTCTCCCCATATTAGTTAGTACATGGATAAAGTATTGTTTACCCCAACAGTTTCGAGTATGAGTTTTGAGTGGATATATCCACTGAATTGATGTCTGAAATCACCGAACGATTTTGAAAAATAGTACTGTAGTATGTTGTAACCCTTTAAATTCAGAACAAAATAGTATAACTCCAATTTCTGTAAAAATTACGGTTAAAATTCCATTATAAATTATGGTATTTCAACAAAATATCCCTTAATACAAGAAACAAATCTAATAATTTCTAAAAAACCATGTTTTGATTGAATTAAGTACTCGTATGTAATAATCCTTTTTATTCTTAACAACATCTAGTGCAGCCCCATATTCCGGTAAAAACTACGGTTCAAAAGTTCTTGAAACTTATGTTATTTTCCCATAAAACTATGACAAAACCGAGAAAAGGATTAAAAAAAAAATTAATTCTGATTGATTGAAATTCTTCTGTGATGGTCCTTATAATTCTAAAGCAAATAGTGCAAAATGTATTCATTATAAAAATTGTCATCGTAAAAATCTTTAAAATTAACAACGCTTAGTGAAGGTTAGTAATTTCTTTACTCCAAACAAATAATCGAAAGATACATTAAATTAACAGAAAAATGATTTCTTATTTGCTTATGTACAGTACAAAGAAAACTTGTTGAGTCCAAACTGTTGTTTGGATCTCCCAGACTGTAAAAAACACCCCCGCTGCATAGTCAATGCCCACAGGTACGTGACCGCGAGGATATCTCGGCTTTTGTAAGCTGGGGTACGGTGAAAGTTTACGATCCCTCGTTTATGGCCCTATGATTTAGCAAATGAAGACCCCACATCGGCAGCTACAGACAACCCAATGTATAAAAATATAAAACACCCTGGTCAAAGATTTGGTTCTGCTGTATACAAATAAATGCTTGTTAAATGCGTTAAAAGAAAATATAGGCCTACTCCTACATACGCTGGGGTTTTCGTTATCTGGTTTGAAAAATAATGTGACAAATCTGCATTGCAAAATAATTCAGGCATTTTGCATTACACTTTTTACAAAGTGATGTGATACTTAAATTGAAATAGTGTTAAATGAAATAAAAAAAATGTGTAAAAATAATATTTATTACGTATAACCATGAATATAATTAGTGTAAATAGTAATGAAAAAGTCAAACATATGTAACATATGTATCAAACATATGTAAATATAACATATGTAACATATGTATCAAACATATGTAAATATATTTAAGCATTAACTGAAAAGTTAACATTTAACAGATGCTACTTTTCTTGTACGGCAATAACAGTTGTGTTTCAAAGGTGCCTCCAGTAACTCAAGTATATACAACAACGGAAAGTGTTGTAATCATAAACAATACATCTGTGTTCTACTGGTGTTGAGGAATCAAATTAGGGTTATTTAATTGTGTAGTACGTAAATACTTTTCAATAAATTAAAAAAATAAATGTTTGTATTTTAGTCTAAAAAATGCTAATAATTATCTTATTACTAAAATATAATATGATATATTGCTGTATTGGATTTAAGAGTAAAATGAAGACGTTATGTAGTGATAATCGTGTCTGTCTAGAGGTATCAAAACATGACATAGACGAACTATTGAGTCGTATTGGTCATTGTTCAGTATGATGGGTACTTTCCTGTTAAAGGGAACACTCATTATTATCGATGATTTTTTTCTCGATATATCGATGTTTTTGTTTTCCGATCCATTACAAATTGACAACAACTAACTGATCTTGTTTAGGCTAAAATAGTCTATTATATGGATTAAGAAATGAAACTGTTCTAAGCTAACCTAACATAACCAACCAAACTTGCTGTACCATTTAAAAAATTTCGTTTGGGTTTGAATATAAAAGGCAAGTTATAAACACGGAATGTTTAAATGTTACAGCAAGTTTGGTTAGTTGTGTTAGGTTATTTTTTTTTAGAACAGTTTCATTTCATTAATGTTTGTTGATACTGACTGCACAATATTTTTCGTAGTTGTCAGCTGATATGTTTCAATTTGTTAATATCGATATATCGAGAAAAAAATCATCGATAATAATGAATGTTCCCTTTAACAGGAAAGTACCGTATGGGTAATGTTAATTGTCAAACTTATTTCGGTAATATCATTGACTATATAACACTATATTTTATATATGTAGTGTTATATAGTCAATGGTAATATGTTTTATTTTCTATTTTTTACAATATTCAGGTTTTACATTTAATTCGGTAATTTACAATATTCATTCAGCTAGGACTACTTGTCATTCAGCTAGGGCTTTTAGCAGGGTAATAAAAGTTTCTCTTCTGTGAACGCTTCCCTCACCAGTCCTTGGAAATTTGTCATCCCAATCTTGGGTGAGCGAGGTTTCTTTTTCAAAGCGTAAAAGATTAGCATGCAAGAATGATGCAAGTGTTTTATATTTTATTGTTATACGAACAATGGTTTAAAAAATAAAGAATTGTAAACGTTGTTCTGCTGTATGTACACAGTGGAGAAGTATACATGCGAAATGTCAATTCTATCTCTGAAATCACCAAACAAAGGATATTGTTTAGGTAATGAACTTCAATTATGTATGAAACACACTTGTGATCACCATGTTGGGGGTGAAGGTCGTTTCGGATTTTTAATAGTTTGTAATATATTCCCGCTGTTAAAAATTTCAAATAACCATTTTGGTTATTTTTTCCCATTGATTTGTGAACATTTTTAACATCTAGTATTATAAAAGGCTGTGTATTTTGAAGGCTATATCAATTATACGTTAAGCAGTGTAAATTTGATATCACAATATCAAAATCGTCCAAAACACAGAGACTTTGTACAGTTCCCTACTGGTTTCGTAAACAAATATTCACAAGACTATTGTTACACCATTATTATTATTTGAACTTCATCAATGTTTCTTGTGTTTTGGGATACTCAACGTTTCTGGAGTTGGATCAACTCCTACCGTTTAAAGTAATAATAATTAACAATTAGTTTGCAGTATTATTTCTTAAAGTCCAAATAATAATAGTTACATGTTTTAGAACCAAATTAATTATGATATTTTCCCCACTACACAGTTTTAATAGACTTTCCACGTACGAAATTTGTCCAAGTACCGGTAAGGGTAGTTAATAAACCTAAAACGTTCATAAGTCTTCATATTGACTACATCGGTTTAACATTTTTAGCGGTTGCAAAAAATGGATGTGATATAGTGGAGACAGACTGACTCTCACCACCACGTTTTATAATACTGTAGTATAGATACATATTTTTTAATGAGAAAGGGTGGAGTTCTGGTCTCTGGGGACATCGAAACGAAAAAGTAAATCGATCACAGGCTGAGCCCCTATGGCGATAGTTTATTATAAATATAAAATTGGCTGTTAACGGAACTAAAGAACATGTAACAGTTATATCACACTTCTAAATTAAAACCGAGGCTTACCATAGGCCTATCAAATATTTAACCCCGTTTTACAGCAGCAATGTCTCATATTACTGACACATCAACTGGTGCCTGTTTCCCTTTAGCAGACAGATGTTGTAAATCATAGTGTAGCCAAGGGGTTGTCGGGTATTGTGTAAAGGCAATGCCCTTATACCCGAACGGAACGAACGCTCTGCCACCCCCCATGTTCTGTCATTTCACTTTCTCTTTTCTCTGAGCACATTTTGCAGTTTTTATTTGCTTTGGGCGTTTTGTGTGGTCGTTATTTCAAGCTCGTTCACTAGTTTCAAAGTGTTAGGTGGATGTATTCTACTATACTTAATAGATTAAAATTTAATTGTGATATGTGGATAAATCAATTTATTTATTTATAAAATATCACACTTTCTTAATTCCAATTAAATATTTTATTATAAATTCTTACAACAAAACATTTACAACATGGCGGGTTTGATTACGCAAATTTGTATTTAAGTTATTCTCATCGGCGTTTTAAATTTGATTAGATACTGATAGGAAATTGACACATATCTACAGGACATCTTTTTTATCAATCAAATTCACTAACCACTAAAATATCACGATAAATATTAGGATACGAGTCCCTGTCTAATATCTCAGATTCTTAGCGAAGCAGTTAAATTAATGATCAGTCGCGCTTCACTTCTAACAACACGAATTCGAGGCGAGCGGGGAGCGGATGTGCAGTTCCGGCAAGTCACGTGGGCGCGGGTAGCATGGCTCAGCTGTCGGCTGTCTGTACATTGCGTCGTAACAGCAGACAGCACTATGTTTTCATTGCCCGCCACATCGTGGCAGCACCTACTGGTCGGTGACGTCAGCGCTATGATCGCCCCTTCCCGCCAGAGTGTGCTGATTGCTTGTTCACAACCAAATGCATGGGGCTTTCAATCTATAGTGTTATATAGTCAATGGTTCCACTGATGGTTTTTTAACTAGCAGCTGATATTTGTGTGAGAAATATTTTCATAGGAGACTGGAGTTAACATCTCCAAAAATTACTTTGCTGGAATGGTTTTATAGTAATATCATAGACAAAAAGAATTAAATATAGACGCTCAGCCATGTTGGGGTTACTATGGTTACCATAATTTCTGGCACACACTGCTGGGATCACCGTGTAGTTACATCCCAAGTAGCAAAAATCGTTGGCAAATCGTTGGCCCAACATTTCTGTCGATCGTTGGCCAACGGTATGTTTTGGCACTCAGTCTTACGGTTGGCCAACCAACCAATTTTTGCGGAAGGGCCAACCTTTCCATTTGGCCTAAAAATAAAAAACACAAAATAATAAAGATTTAGTATGAAAATCATAATTATCAGTTGAGTAAATTGATTAAATAGTTCATAAAAACTAATTTTGAAAAAAAACGAGATAAAATTTTTTGGCCGGGGCGGGTCTCGAACCCGGTACCTTCGCATAGTGAGTCTGACGCCTTACCTCTGAGCTAACTGTGCTTCTTAATTATGAGTGCTTTCAAGTGGTCAAAGAGTAGCCGACAGGTGCAATGGTCACAATACTGTACTTAAAATATTTTTGATGCTACAGTATAATATGATTCTGTCAATCTGTTTAGGCCTCAAGTAGTTGAATTGTTTTTCTGGTAGTTGGAGAGTATAAGTATTTGAATATAGATTATTTAATTACCATTAGATTAGGAGGCTACTGTTATTATAATTGATTGTTATATAATTAATTAATCTTTCCCCTATAACTATTAAACAAATTGCTCAAATAAGTTAAAGAATATTGTTAAAAAAAATGAATTATTATAATTATTATATGTCAAGCAGGTGTTCCCCATTGTATCTAGTATCACAACATCTGACTATTTACTATAGATCCAAATTTTTACAATATTTGTCTTATATTCTGCTGCCATAACATTTATGTACTTTTACATAAATAAATTCGTTAAAATGTGTTTTAGAATGTTTTATACTTAAACCCAACGAAGGCCCAACGATTCTTTCCTTTGTAGGGCCAACGAATACCAGTTTCCGTTGGGCCAACGTTGGCAAATCGTTAAAATTTCGGCCAACCATTTCCCAACCGTGCCGACCATTTCCCAACGTTGGGCCAACGATGTGTGCTACTTGGGATAGCGCTTCATACTGTGAGGTAGCGCGTACGCTGTAACTACATGGCCCTCCCAGTGGTGTGCCCCAAAACCTATGGTAACCGCAGCACAGCTGACGGTCTATATTTAATTCTTTTTGTCTATGGTAATATCATAGACTATTATTGCTAAGGGAGTATGCTTAATCTAATGATAAACATTCTGAAATGTTAGAAAGAGAGAATATTTAAGGATAATAAAATTCAAACGACAACACATACGTTTTGTTTAAGTACCAGTTACTTTTGCCATAGTTGGGTTATTCAATAATTGTCATTTGTCTTTTGTTTTCAGTAGAAATTGTGAATTTATATATTTTAATTTTTTTACTGAGAAATCAAACCTCTCCACAGAACGGTTTACTTGGTGACTGTATGAGTCATAGGTTGTATAATATGATTAAAACTTCATTTGTAAACAAAGGCCGGACGCAAGACAATTACTTTACGATTACACCTAATGACTTTTTAAACATAGTTTGTTTAGAAAATGGCTAACCTTGATGCTTTTTATGCCTGATAAATTCAATAAAAGCCTTCTTTTTAACTCTTATAGTACCAGTAT